ATTTTATACTTTTTATACATTTATACAGAATGAATGCAAAGGGTAAAACTGACAAAGTTAATATAGTTTTAAGTTGTGATAACTTCACTGGGTAAATTTAGCAGTGCTTAAGACTGCTAAAATATGCACAGGATTTTGCAATGTGTCTTGATGGTTAACACTGTTGGTATTTAAGAAACAATTTGAACTGCTCTGAGTGGGCACCTCTATTCTTTGTTCATACATATTTTCACTGGAAATTCATAGAAAAAGGTGTTGTATTCTCAGCTATATTTTTTCTTTATTAAATCTAAGTGTAGAGTATGAGTAACTTAGAAGAAGCAATTTAAGTCTTCAGGGAATATGTACGCATTTCTTTATGCCAAACAGTTTTGGAGATAAGAGTTTTTACTAATTTTACTGAGATAAATTCTTTCAATTGTTTAATTTCAAATGGAAAAATTGCTAATGGGCCTTCATCAATTTGACCCTTGTTGGATCCCATATAAAATTAATGTTGGCTCCTATGATAGTGGACAACCTCACTGCAACTTTTTAGGCACACCAAAGTCAGCAAGTACTATCTACAACAGCTTAGATCTGGCCCGTGAGGCTGCCCTGGAAATAGCAAAGGACAGGCCCGCAGTGCCTCTGCCAGCAAAAACAGAGCATGTGAGGGAGCCTTCCCAAGCTCCGTTTTCACTGCCAGAGGGCTGCAGGAGGCCATCACAGCCAAAAACAGAGCTGGCGGAGTGCTTGGGCCACCACAGGCGTCCCCAACATGAATGACGTCGAGCTGGCCATGCCCATCCCGGCCCAAACACAACCCTGATGCAGCCCTCAATGAAATCGAGTTTGATATCCCTGATCTACAACAAAGGCTAATTTAGAAAAGGTATGCAATTAATCTCTGGAAAAATTACTTACTGGTTTTCCAGTAGTTTCTTCTTTCTTTTCCTTTCTAACTCCATCTCCTGGTGGTGCAAGTTCCTGAAAAAGCAGGAGGGTATTATTGATGCACAAGAGCCTATTGGTACAGATGATTTTTCCCCCACTGAATTTTGATGCAAGCAAAATCCTAAAGGCAAATCAGTGGAGTGGTAACTGAGTACATGGTGACAAAATTACTAAATGTATGCCAAGCTCTCGTTAGGCTTCATATAGAATCCATTGAAATGATGATGTAAAATGATGTTGTAGTAAGGCAGTTCTTAAGGAAAGAAGTGATTTCATTCCTTTTTATGGGTACAGGTATGCATGATGGGATATTTTAATGCTATAGCAGTCATAGGATAAAGCGAGTGAATCTGAATTTCAATAGTAGGAGAAATTTTAGATTCCCACTCATCATTTTTCAAAATAAGCTTTTCAAAAATCATTGTTGTATGAATTAATTATTGTAAGCTGCCCAGAGTTGCATCACAGTGAGATGAGCAGCAAATAAACTTAATAAATAAATAATCCACATTCCTTTGAAAATATGCCAATGATCCTAATTAACCTCATGGCTATTATTTTTAATCTGGATTTTTAATCTCCTATATTTTGTTTAGTTTCATTCAAAGGTCTGCTTGTCAAAAGGGGGGGGGAGTCATTCACTATATAATAATACTTACATTGAAAGCACGGTTATTGTAGAATCGGTCCTCTAGTTTTGCTCCCCATTCAGTTGGATCATATCCGGTTTCTAAAAGACATGACTTTTTTTGAAGAAAAATTACTGACTTCTCTTAAAAAAAATAAAAGCTTCCTAGTCAAATGGTGCTTAATTAAATTGGGAATCATAATGACACTGACATTCGTTTAACAACAGTTGAGATTTCTTAACTGAAAAAAGGTAAACATGCACATGTAGCTCAACAGCTTTTCAATTATCTGTAATAAAGAGGAAAAAATAGACAACTGGCCCTGGCCAACTCACCACATGACAATTCAAAGCGGGATAACTGAAGAGAGGAGGGACAAATGAATTTCTGGGACTCTACGCTCTGGCTCACCCCAGCCTCAAAGACTTCTAACCTGAAAAGGTTCAAACCTAAAGCAAGACAAGACCTGCTGAAATTCAATTTTCCCTACTGTTGAATTATCCCATGTTGAATAGTCCCACAGCGAGTCAGCTAAGGTGGGCGGGCCATGGCAAGATGACCATGGCAAGTCAGCCATGGCGAGTTGTCTCATTCCAAGGAAAACAGGTGTAACACTCTTTATAGTATGCAGGATAATAGGTCAAAATTAAAATTTAAATTTAAAAGAAGTGATATATGTACCGTATTTTTCGGAGTATAAGACGCAGCTTAGTTTTTGGGGAGGAAAATAGGAAAAAAAAATCTGCCTACCAGGTATTCATCTGGCTAGCGTCCTTAGTCTGGTCAGCTTCAGCACATTAGTTTGCTGGTTTTTTATCTCCTGCTTGGGGATAAAAAACAGCTTCTAAGGCACAGCTGAGAGGAAGCAGCAATGAGAAAAGCAGGCAAAGCACCGCTAGCCCCTAGTTAGGGCTGAAAAAAACAGCCGAGAGTTGGAGCAAAGCATGGAGATCACTTCACTCGCTAGCGCCTCATTAAAGCACAGTGGAGAGTCAAGGGAGCAGGCAAAGCTGGGAAGATCACTCACTAGTGCCTCATTAGGGCTGAAAAAAAGCTTCGAAAAAGCTACATTCAGAGTATAAGACACACCCAAATTTTCAGCCTCTTTGGGGGGGGAGGTGCGTCTTATACTCTGAAAAATACGGTATATAGTAAAAAAGGTAACTCAAACCTACCAATCTGAGCATAACAAAAAGAAGGCACTGAGCATTTGAGAATAGCCGATTTCAGAATCTACATAGTGGCTAAACTGGACAGCCCTTCCTCAGTTTTAACAGAGAATCCTAGTTACTTTCTGGATGGTGCAAAAACATTCCTGAGAAAGAAAAATGCCACATGATGGATACCTACGTGAATAAATAATGGTTTCTTGCAAACCAGATGAAGCCCAAGAACGCAAATGTATGTTAAAAACCTTAAATATAGTCAATTGAAACTTACTTTCTCTTTCAATAAGGAGAGATTCAAAATACTTGGCTGCAAAAGTTGGTATATCATCAGGCTGGTTTCTTAAGACTTCCCTGGCGAGCCCTTCAAGCAGATTGGCAAATCCTGGAGGAATGCGTTGAGTGGTGTTCGAGAACGGAATAGCCATTGTTTCTGGAAAAGTTTCTTTTATACCTAGAGTTCAGTTTACAAGAACAATTAGTGAGATATATAATCTAAATAAGACATTAAATGTTGGATAAAAAGATAAGGTAAAGGTTTCCCCTGTCTAGTTGTGTTTGACTCTGGGGAGGTGATCCTCATCTCCATTTCTTAGCTGAGGGAGCCAGCATTGTCCGAAGATGCTATATATCTACCTGACAATCTGGTGTTGTGGCAAAAGTATGAGGAAGAAGGAGTATTATATATTCTTGCCACCTTGAGTTACAAAAGGCAGAATAAAAATATTAATAAATCTGAATGTCAAGCTCACACTATTTAATATTTTTAATTACTACAAAGTATCTAATTGTAACAACATTTTAAACAAGGAATTGCTTTGTTCTGAACCAGACTACTAGTCCACTTATCTCAGTATCACCCAATCCAATTTCAAACAGATAATTAAATTAAAGAATATAGAGAATTCACTAAGTTTTTTTTTTAAATTGATTCTCACATAAACATGTTCAAGTTTAGGCTTTACAGCAGGGGTGTCCATCCAACCTTGGCAATTTGAAGGCTTGTGGACTTCAACTCCCAGAATTCCCCAACTAGAATGGGGATGGCTGGCTGGGGAATTCTGGGAGTTGAAATCCACAGGTATCCAAGTCCCCAAGATTGGACATCCCTACTTTACAGTATTTTACTTTGCCCTTCTTAGCAACATTTACTATTGAATAGACTCATCAGATTTTCCGTGAAAAACATGGCACAAAGCAGGGGTACAAAATAGGAGCCTGCTTAAAACACTGAAGCAAGAAGCCCTCACCCAGAATTCCCAGCCATGCTTGCTGGGAACGATGGGGCCTGTACCTGTAAAAGTTGGGGAAGGGAGCAATAATGGAAGCCTCTTCCTCACGGGGAGAAATACAGATAGCCTTTGACTTATGACCACAATTGAGCCCAACATTTCTGTTGCTAAGTAAGACATTTGTTAAGTGAGTTTTACGACCTTTCTTGCCACAGTTGTTAAGTGAATCACTGCAGTTGTTAAGTTACTAATATGATTGTTAAATGAATCTGGCTTCCCCATTGACTTTGTCAAGTCACAAAAAGGGACCACATGACCCCAGGACACTGTGACCGTCATAAATATGAGACAGTTGCTAAGAATCTGAATTTTGATCATGTGACCATGGGGATGCTGCAAAGGTCGTAAGTGTAAAAAATGGTCATAAGTCACTTTCGTCAGTGCCTCTGTAACTTTGAACGGTCACTAAACGAACTGCCTGTACTCTGGCAGGGACTACTTGTAGTCTGCCCATGCTCAAAAGCGCTCTTTTTCTGATGCAGTCAGGTTCCTGGCCTGCCTGCGCCTCTTCCTTCCCAGCCTGGAGCTATCAACACGGGGTGAGGCGCTTAGCGCCCCCACGCCGCCGCCCCCGGCCTCTTCAGCTCCCCGGCCCGCCAGGAGGATAATTCCCAGGCCTCCTTTTACCCTTTTACCGCAAGGACAGAGACCAGCGTCCTTCCCGTTGCTTAGCAACTCCAATCAAGACGGCAAGCGGGGAGGGCCAATAGAGCGGAAAATCGCGCGGTTGGCTTCTCAGGTCAGCCCACCCCGTTTGCTGATTGGCTGCAAGCTCCACCCTTCAACGACCAAACCTTTTCCCCTCCTCCTCCTCCCCCCTCTTGAAGCCCGCCCCCAAATAAAATCTCGTCCCGTCCAGTGCCTCAGGGCGGTTGGTTTCTCCTGGGTCGGCCCACTCCGCCTGCCGATTGGCTGCCAGCTCCGTCCTTCAGCCACCAAACCTTTCCCCACCCCCTTACCTCCCTCTTCAACCCGCCCGCAATTAAAACCCGTTATCGCCCAGGGGCCTCACCGCGTTCTCGGTTCTGTTTTCGGGCGCCGGTGAAGGAGGCGATGGCGCGGCCGAGGTTTTAAGGACCAAGCGGGGAGCCTGCGCTCCTAGTACGTCTTCTCAGGGCCCATGGAGTTGGGACTCTGCGGGCAGGGTGGGCCTGAGGCCGCGCTTTAGACGGGTCCCGGGGCGCTGACGTCACAGAGAGCTCGCGGTGACGTCACACACCGGGCCTCTTGGCAACCTAGCGGGGTCTGATGGCAGGGCCTCCGCCCGGGCAGCTCTTCCACCCCCGTGGCTTTGCAGATGGGGTAGGCTGCGAGGGCGCCGGGGATGGGCACTGAGGGCCACGCAGCATGGACTTTGTAATACTTGCCATATGGTTCTTGTAGTAGTTACACTGGCCAACTTACGCGGGTTTTCTTGTCTTTGTCAATTTGCCCTTTTCAAAATGTGTAGCTCATGATTTGCCCTGCCTATATAAGCTTTATAACCTTCAAGCAAAGCCTCCCTTTTAGAAGCCAGGAGTGGCAAGAGAGTATTCAAATGCTTTGTAGATTTATTTATTTTATTTATTTAGTTTGTCAAGCATGTATGAGAAAGCAAGTATAAGTATGAACATACATAAACATATAAACAGATATAGGTATATACATAACCGATACGAATAAATGGGGACAGTAGGACAGGGACGGTAGGCACGCTGGTACGCTTATGCACGCCCCTTTACAGACCTCAGGAATGGAGTGAGGTCAACAGTAGACAGTCTAAGGTTAAAGTTTTGGGGGTTTGAGGATGTAACAACAGAGTCAAGTAGTGCATTCCATGCATTGACCGCTTTGTTGCTGAAGACCGTAGGCGGCATAGTTCTAGGTTGTTCAGGTCCAAAATTTCAAGCCTAATGGCGTAAGGTACTCTATTGCGAGCAGAGGAGTGGAGGACTCTTATCATGAAATACCTCTGGACCCGCTCAATTCTATTAATGTCCGTTATACAGTGTGGATTCCAGGCAGATGAGCTGTATTCGAGAATTGGTCTGGCAAAGGTTTTGTATGCCCTGGTTTGCAGTACAATGTTTCTGGAGAAGAAGCTTCTCAAAATTAGGTTAACAACTCTTACTGCCTTTTTGGCAATGCTGTTACAGTGAGCTCTGAGGCTTAGATCTTTTGAAATGAGTACTCCTCGGTCCTTGACAGTGAGGGTCATCTACGAGGTCATAGTTTCATTTTCAGCCGTTCTCAAGCCTCCATGAACAAAAAAGAGCAAGTATTGAGGCTCAATGATGGGAAGTGTTGAATCTTACCTATGTCCATTCTGACATTTTTCTTTACAAATGTTTCATTTGCTTTTACCCAGAGTACAGTGCTCCTTTGGTAGTTGCTCGCATATGTTTTAATTCTTACGAACTAACTAGACAGATAATTTTTCCCTACCCAATCAAAAACCTTTTTATGTATGCAAAGTATAAAAAGGGAAGGTGGGATTTCTCACCTTTCTTCTCTCTCTGGTGAAATCAATAAGAGAATCCTTTTTAGTTGAAATGTTTCAAATAAATCATAAATCAATGTTTCTGGAGGGGGGCACCAGGTTGCTGAAGGGGATATTAGAGCAAATATTAGAATGCAGATATGAGGCTGGATTCACCCATCAAGGCACCACAGCATATCCTAAAACGGGTTCCCAACCGGGGATGGGAGACGATATTACAGGAGGTGCAAAAATGTGGGTTTAGAAGTTTCAAAATTATAGTGTATATGCATAATTAGGTGCATATAATTATTTACTTTTGTAAGGGGTGCGAGAATATATCAGAAGTGTTCTAGAGGTGCGGGGTATAGAGGAGGTTGGGAACCCCTGACCTAGAATGTTGTGGGAATCCCTCTTGTCATTTCCGTATTAAGCTGCTGGGCAGGTTTAGCCGCTTGGGGCTTATTCCAAAATAAGTTCTTTTTTTATAAGAAAAATATTTTTGTATAGAAAATTAAAATACAAACTTCAAAGGAAAAAATGTTTTTTTTCTCCAGCGTATTTTTATTTTTTGAATAGTTCAAACCATGCATGATTTGTCATTATGTATAAACCCAACACTGCAGATAATAGTGTACTGTCATGGCCAAAAATGTGTGGTCTTTCTCACCATCCTAAGCATCTGCTATGGCTTTTGCCTAGGATGTGTTTTCTGTCTCTCAATCTATCCAGCACTCCTGGGGTGTCCTGATGGTTGCCACATGAGTTTGCACACATGTCCTTCCTTGAAATGCTTAGCTGAGCTTTCAGAATACTATACAAGCCATTCTTTCAGAGTAAAAAGGGTAAAGTTTCATAGAGGGGTGTCAGGGTGAAGTTGCAAAGAAGAAATGGGGCAGGAAGCAAAGGGTGGCTGGTTTACACACACAAGCATTATGTGGTTTATGTGGATTGTATACAACTTGACTACCTAGGCTTAGTGAATAAGCTAGGATTTTTTTAAAAAAAAAACTTTTTAATTGGGGAACCCAGCCCCCTCAATGTACTAAGCCAAAGTTGTGGCTTTGCAGAGTTACAAGTGCCAATAATGTAACACGTTTGAATTTGAATTCAAAATAATTTCTCAGGAGGTATTGGGAAACATTCAGCTGCTTTGCTATCCTTAAAAGCCTTTTTTTCCTGCTTTAGAGGCTATTTTTCCTCAAATTCAGGAAGCACATTTTCAGAAGTGGGAGAAGTCATAAAGAGATCCTGTAGGTCAGATTTAGGATACAGTCAAATAGCCTTCTCCATCTCAGCCTAACAGTTGAAATTGTCTGGAGCATTATTAAGGATTCATATCTGCTGGGTGGTGACAAGGTTGCCATACCTATGAACAGCTATGTTACTTTCTCCCTACCAGCCCTATGTTACTTCCTGGCTTGGATCAGCCCAGTGTGAGGTCACAAGGAGATTGATGTCTTTAAGATACAGACTCCGGACATTCTCTGCTCCCAGAATTGCATGCTCTGACTTTCTGGCTTCATGTTATCAAAAAAGATGATGGAGGCTTCCTTGCTATTCATGTTGCTCTTGGCTTGCACAGCAGGTGAGTGAGAAGAGACAGTTCCTGCCGCTACTTGTGAATGAGCACAGGCAAATGCAATATGGAGAAAACAGTATTTTGAAAATACAATAGCAGCATTTAGCTAGTAGGAACTTGCTTCCCTTCCACGACGCTAAGCTTCGACCAGATGTTTTTTGTTTGTATCTTGTACAGGCTGAGCTTCCTTGAGCAAAATCCTGAACAAAGTTTGGTTCAGTGTTTGGTGAGGATAAGTCAGATAATTAGCTCATCTCAGTAGAGGAGTAACTTTTAAACATATTTACAAAGAAAGTCCCTTGAGTTCAGTGCCCCAACAGAATTTACTCCTGGGTGCATTCAGGATTGCATCTTTTAAGAGTTTTGTTAACAGTTGCTTAGGTTTGTTGTTCTTTGATAAAGGGTTTATTATATTTTCTTGCAATTTTCTCATTGACTTCCAATTTTCAGCTTTATGTTGTATCCTGAAAAGCAGCATGCAGTTGTTCCTACTACGCAACAGTACAAGGAAACTCTACTTGCTTGGCATCCTGCCCTAGCTCAGCTTCTGTTTCTTATATTGCATATCTACGTTGGCATATATTCTGTAGCATCTGCAAATGTTATAGTAGAGTATGAAACAAACCAGGCTGTAACTCAGTTAATTACTAAAGTGATTCTTGCTAACAGAGATTTAAATGACGGGAGAAAGATATTGGTTCCTGGAGCCTTAATTTAAATGTTTACCCTTCAATATTTATCAATCTATATTTCTAATAATCCTCTCAAAACATAGCTAAGGTAGCCTCAAATAAAATATAAGAGGATCAATTCCTCTCCTTCAATCATTCAGTGTTAAGGATATGATGCTATATATGTATCTCTTTGTATTGGTGACTTTCAAGTAAATAAGTATAGGGTTGCCATAGCTGTAAGAAAAGGAGGGGTTTTTTAAATTCTTTTTTTATGTTTTTGCTCATACAATATGCTGAGCCAAGTTATTTAAAGACTTAACAGCTGGGTTTGTACAAGATGCTAGACTAGACTAAATTGAGGTGTTTGTGTTCAGGACATTGTAAAAACCTAGGTAGGCATTGTCTTCACATGTTAGTTAATCAAGCAGTCACATTAAGCTGTATTTGCTTAAGCATTGTGATAGGAGTACACAGGAAGTGTATTTGATTAAGCTGGGTTCAGCATATTGAATGAAGACTAACAATGCAGTATTTAAATCCATACAAATAATGGCAAGAAGGCAAAGTGGCCTCTGTTTTTCTCCTGCATCTCCTGCAGTGAGGAGGGAATCAGGGACAGACTGTAGACTCAGTCTCCTCAGTCATAAAGTGACACATGGCAGAAAGGGTCTCTTCTCAGAGAATTGGGCTGAAAAACTGTTCACTCATAAAGATACAAACACATATTCTATGTCGTACTTTCCTAAAAACTAGTGCTATAAAAGTGAAATTCCAAAGTTCATACCAGATAGAGAAATTGGAGATTGTATGAATGTATGTATGGGTGGGGAGAGCAGCAGAGAATGGCTTCAGTTGAAAAAAAAATACATGATCACGTGAAAAAGCAACAATGAAAGTAGTTGTGTAATCTTCAAAGATTTTTAATGCATCTGAGATGTAGTCTTTCTTTCTCAGTAATATGCTTCCTTGACAATCTCTAATGAATTGCCAGCTATTTTTGCTGTTCAGAAATGTCTTAAGAATTGAACGGTTGTACTCTAGCATAGGCATTGCTGGAATATTTTTGAGAAGCTGAAACCGTAAACCGGATTGTCGTTCCTTTTTGTCTGCCTCAGGTGCTAAATTTCACTTTGCTTCCTATTATGCTGATCACATGGTACTCCAGAAGGAACCAACTCATGCAATCGTATGGGGCTTTGGAGATCCTGGTTCTAAGGTGATGCTGACACTCTCCCAGAATCATAGTGTTGTGACCAAAATGGTACAGATTGAAGGTAATCCATAATATTAACAATATGTACATGGCTTCCTTGTCCTAATGCCCATGCATAGAATATAGAGTAATAGAGTTAGAAGCAATCTTGAAGACCTTCTAGGCCAACCCCCTGCCTGTGGCAGAAGACCCTACACCATTCTGGACAAATGGCTGTCTGATCTCTTCTTAAAAATCTCCAGTGATAGAGCACCCATAACTTCCAGGTAAACTATTCCACTGATTAATTGTTCTCACTGTCAGGAAATTTCTCCTTAGTTCTCAGTTGGATCTCATCTGTTACTTCTTGTCCTTCTCTCAGGTGCTTTGGAGAATAGGTTAATCCCCTTGTCAGGTTTTCAGGCTGTCTTCAAATAAATTGCATCACAAACAAAGTCTTTTATAAAACAAATTTCCATTTTATTAAGCACAGCACTTTTTACACTGACTCGTTGCAGCTGGCACTGATGTGTTGACCCAAAACCCCTCCTCTTCCTTCCCCCACTCTGCATTCTTCCTTCCCCCACTCTGCATTCATTGGCCATCTTCCCAATCATTCACCCCTAATCTACTGCTCCAATTCAAAGAATTTCCCCCCTCCCATCCATCTCCTAGGGGACATTATCTCCAGAGGAAATAAGTAGGTGAAAGGCAACTGTCCCGTTGCAGACGCCTGCATTCTCCTTCTTATGTCAGCATTAGGATAAATGCATCTTGACGTGCTGACACCCCTCTTTTCTGTGCCGCTCAAGTCCTGGAAGACTGCTATCATTTATTTTTTTTATCTTATTTTGAATTTGTATACCGCCCTTCTCCCTGAGGACTCAGGGCGGTGAACAGCCAAGTAAAAACATCAAGTACAAATATTAAAATACAATTAAAAATATATATAAATTTGGCCCCATTAATTAAAAACAATAAACAAAACAATTAAAAACACTTAAAAATTAGGCCAGCCCAGCTTGCTGGAAAAGGAAGGTTTTAAGGGCACGGCGGAAGGCACTGAGGTCTTGGATTCTCCTTATCTCTGGGGGCAATTGATTCCAGAGGGTAGGTGCCCCCACAGAGAAGGCCCTCCCCCTGGGGGTCACCAGCCTGCACTGTTTGGCTGATGGCACCCCGAGGAGGCCCTCTCTGTGGGAGCGCACGGGTCGATGGGAGGTCGTCGGTGGCAGCAGGCGGTCTCGAAGATAGCTAGGCCCTATGCCATGGAGCGCTTTAAAGGTGATAACCAACACCTTGAAGCACACCCGGAAGACCACCGGGAGCCAGTGCAGCTCACGCAGGAGCGGTGTTACATGGGAGTGCCATGCTGCTCCCGTCACTACCCGCGCTGCTGCCTTCTGGACCAGCTGGAGCCTCCGGGTGCTCTTCAAGGGGAGCCCCATGTAGAGAGTGTTGCAGTAGTCAAGGCGAGAGGCGACGAGGGCATGAGTGACTGTGCACGGGGAATACCGATCAAGAAAGGGCCGCAACTGGCGAATCAGGCAAACCTGACAAAAGGTCCCCCTGGTTACAGCCATCAGATGTTCCTCCAAGGACAGCTGCGTATCCAGGAGGACTCCCAGATTGCGAGCCCTCTCTGTGGGGGCCAACGACTCGCCCCCAATAGTCAGTGATGGAGTCAACTGACTATATCGGGATGCCAGGAGCCACAGCCACTCAGTCTTGGAAGGGTTGAGCTTGAGCCTGTTCCTCCCCATCCAGATCCGCACAGCCTCCAGGCACTGGGACATCACTTCAAGGGCATCGTTGGGGTGGCCTGGGGTGGAGATGTACTGGGTGTCATCAGCGTACTGGTGGTATCTCACCCCAAAGCCACGGATGATCTCGCCCAGCGGCTTTACATAAATGTTGAACAGAAGGGGCGAGAGGACCGACCCCTGAGGCACTCCACATATAAGAGGCCTCGAGGTCGACCTCTGCCCCCCTGCCAACACGAACTGCGACCGGTCGGAGAGAAAGGAGGAGAACCACCGTAACACGGTGCCCCCCATCCCCAACTCTTCCAACCGGTGCAGCATGATACCATGGTCGATGGTATCAAAAGCCTCTGAGAGGTCTAACAGGACCAGAACAGAGGAGCAACCCCTGTCCCGAGCCCTCCAGAGATCATCAACCAACGCGACCAATGCCGTTTCCGTGCTGTGCCCGGGCCTGAAACCCGACTGGAACGGATCTAGATAGGATGTTTCCTCCAGGAATTGCGGAAACTGTCGCGTGACCACCGCCAGGAAGTGAAGGTTGGAGACAGGACGGTAGTTGGCCAATATTGCCGGATCCAGGGATGGCTTCTTGAGGAGAGGCCTTACCACCGCCTCTTTCAAGGTGGCGGGGAAGTGACTCTCACTCAGCGAAGCGTTGATAACACCCTGGAGCCAGCCTCGTGTAACTGGTAACTGGCCGGGAGGCCAGTACCAACCAGGAGGGACACGGGTCCAGTAAACATGTGGCCACACTAAGTCTCCCCAAAATCCTGTCCACATCATCGGGAGTCACAGCATCAAACTCCTCCCAGGTAACATTCTCAAGACTATTCCTCGTCACCCTGCCCTGATCTACCCAGTCAGAGTCCAAATCCCCCCGGATCTGAGCGATTTTGTCATACAGGTATTGTCCGAAATCCTCCGCCCTGCCTTCCAAGGGATCCTCCTGCGCTTCCGGATGGAGCAGGGAGCGGGTTACCCTGAACAGGGCAGCCGGACGATTCCCTGATGACGCAATAGAGGCGGAAAAGTAATTAAACTTTGCTGTCTTTATCACCACGAGGTAGGTCTTAATATGCGACCTTACCAGTGTTCGGTCAGCGAGACTGGCCCTCCAACCGCTCTCTAGGCGTCTTTTCCGGCGTTTCATCTCCCTCAGCTCCTCGGTGAACCAAGGAGCCGCGAGGGATCGACACCGGGTCAGAGGCCGCAAAGGCATGACTCGATCCAAGGCCCCACCAGCTGCCCGATCCCAGGCAGCTACCAGGTCCTCGGCCAAGTTGTGTGCCAGATCTTCAGGAATTGGCCCAAGCTCCATCTGGAACCTATCAGGATCCATCAGGCGCCTGGGGCGGATCCATCTAATTGGGTCCGCCTCCCTGCGGCGGGGTGTAGCGGTTCGAAGGTCCAGATGAAGGAGTGAGTGATCTGACCATGACAAGGGTTTCATGTCTATATCCCCTATAATAAGACCACTCAACCACTGGCCAGAGACAAAAATCAGGTCCAGCGTGTGTCCCCCCCTGTGAGTGGGGCCATGAACTAACTGGGTCAGGTCCATGGCCGTCATGGAAGCCATGAACTCCCGAGCCATCTCTGACATTTCACCAACGGACGGCAGGTTGAAATCACCCATGACCATAAGCCTGGGTGTATCAACTGCCACCGTGGCTATCACGTCGAGTAGCTCGGGCAGGGCCGTTGTCATGCGGCAGGGAGCCAGGTACGTAAGCAGCAAGCCCATCTGAACCCCATGACTCCATCTCACAAAGAGGGACTCACATCCGGCAATCTGTGGCACAGTGGTCTCCCTTGGACCAAGACCTTCTTTAATAATAACCACCACCACCCCCGCCCCTCCCGTGGGCCCCCGGCTGATGGAATGCTCTGAAGCCTGGTGGGCACATCTCAACCAGTGGGACCCCTCCCTCTGGGCCCAACCAGGTCTCCGTAATACCCGCCAGGTCCGCTCCCCCCTCTTGAATAAGATCGTAAATGAGGGGGGCCTTATTTACCATGGACCTGGCGTTGCACAGCATTAGCCGGAGGCCCAGGTCCTGAGTATCTGAGCCACCTAGTATCCGAGGGGAGCCTTGAGGACCGGGGCACGCAATCGCTCTCAAGTAGCGAGTGCGCACCTCCGGCACAAGATAAGGTCCTCTGCTCCCGCCATATCTGCCCCTCCCATCCACCGTGCTGATGATATCCCCAATCCCTCATCCTGCGCCCTCCAAACCATTACCCTGTGCCGGGCTGGGCCCTGACCTAGGTGGATTACTCCCCCCCCCTCCCCTTTGGTCGCCCTCCCAGTTCCCCTTAAAAGATTATTAAAAACCCTAATTAAAAAACCCCTCAATCCCTGCTTTAAAACATGCCACCTCTCGGGGCTCCAAAGCCCGTCCTTAAGGTAGGCCTTCGATAAAGTGGAAGGCCATCGCCGCGAGATGGGGGCATCTCGCAGTGCGAGCAAATGTGCCGAGGTATAAGTCATACAAGTATGATGAGATGGAAAAGGGGAACTTTGGATGTCAGCGATATTTAAAGATAGTCATTGAGGTGAGAGATGGCAAAAAAGGCTGGCCAGGATGAAGCTGGAGCCCCTTCACTCTCTCACAGTGATGGGGGCGACCAGATCAGATAGTTGCAGTACAGGCGGATGGCCACAGCCGTTCTCTCACAGCGGCTGGATGTCAAAGGCCAACAATAGTCACTCTCTCCCTGCAGATGGAACAGCAGTCCTTGACCTGGACTCTCAGCTTCTCCCTCCAGCCTGCAATCTCTCCTCCCCCGAGCCAAGGCCTAAAGGTGGTAATCGGGCGGCAGGAATAAACTAGCCAGCAGCAGAAGGAGATAGAGATCAAACATAAAAAATCCAGGAGGGTGATAATAAAGTCCCAGAGTTAGTAATGATGGGAAAATGGCCCGACCTAATAGAGAGTCCAGGCAGCAACGGGGGGAGGCCATTTTCATAGGGGGGGGGGGAGCGAATCCAAGGGGGAAACCAGATGGTAATTGGCAATCCCCCTCTATCACTCCCCAACTCCCTTTGATGTTCTGGGCCAAATCACCCCCAATAGTCCTGCCCGTCTTCTCCGAGCAAATTCTACCACGATCTTCCCAGGTCTCGGTCCATATGGGGGGTTTTCAGGCGCAGCTGACCACTGGACCATACACCCCAGCCTCAAATCTGGGCTAAATAACTGTTTGAAGCGGCCTACAGGCCTCCGAACCTCCGGGTGCCAGATCCATCGCCCTCCGCTTCCCGCACCCCACCCCACCCCCGGCAGCCCAGCTCTTTTCCGGCCGCCATCAAATCGAAGGGAGGCTTGGGTCGCTATAGATGATTCCCTCGGCTCCCTCAGTTCTCCATCCGGCTCAGTTAGACTCCCCGGACCACCTTAACTCCTTCACCTCCTGCAGTCGGTCCGTAGGATGAAATGCCCGATCTCCGGGGCTCCACGGCTGTGGAGTCATCGTGGAGGCCGCCATCGCTGCCGCCGCCCTCCTTACAGCGCTCCGATTACATCTCCTCACTGTAGCTCTGCCATCCCCGGGCCAATCCCAATAAGGGATGGCACATCCGAGCCGTCAGACCATCAGCATGCTGACCGTGGGGCCCAGGATCATTAAAACGGCCTCCGACATTTCCAAAGTTCTCCTTTTCCCCATCAACCTCAACAGCGAGCCCCTCGGAGGTCCGCCATCTTGCGCATGCGCAAGATGCATCCCTAGCATCCCTACTCCTTCTTTTCATTAGGCTAGACATCAGGGGTGAAATCTAAAATTTGCTACTACCGGTTCTGTGGGTGTGGCTTGGTGGGGGGGTGTAATGTGACTGGGTAGGCGTGGCCAATTTTTTTTTTTTTTACTTTTAAAAAAATGCAGAAAAAAATGCTTTTAGAAGCCTCTGACGATCAGGCAAGTCAGCTGGGATTGCCAGAGGCTTTTAAAGGCATTTTTTTTTCCTACAACCTCTTCGGCTGAAGGGGTTGCAGAAAAAAATGCTTTAAAAAGCCTCTGACGATCCCAGCTGAGCCGTGCGATCATCAGAGGCTTTTTTTTTTTTTACTTTTAAAAGCATTTTTTTTGGCTGAAGAAGTTGTAGAAAAAATGCTTTTAAAAGTAAAAAAAACCAGCCTCTGATGATCGTGCGGCTCAGCTGGGCATGGGGGGGAGGGGGGCTGCAGGGATTTTTGCTACCGGTTCTCCGAACCACCCGCCACCATCACTACCTGATCGGGCGATCCGGTCCATTTCACCCCTGCTAGACATGCCTAGTTCCCTTAGTTGGGAATGTTAATTGCCAAAATGAGGCTTCCGTCTAGGATCATTCCATTCCTGTATGGGTGGCTGTATATTTCCTTCTTACATTTCAGGCCATCAAGTTGAACTGCTGCTCTGTGCAGGAATCCAAATAAAGCTATGATTGTGGCACCTAGATGAAGAGAACTGCTCTATCAAATGTTTAGCAGGATGCCAGGGAGAAGAAATATGGCAATAAATCATCAGTTTCTTACAAGAAAGTTAAACTTTGGTTATAACACAATAAAGAAACTGTCAGGGGTTTGATCATTTTAGGAAAGATACTGCTCTCTAATGGGTAGGCCGAACTACTCAAAACCACAAGAAGCTAGAATGGGAGTACCTTTTGACCCATCACTTTCTATGGATGATTTGATGGTGACAGGAAAGGTGCCATTTGCCAGCTTCATTGCATTTTCTAGCTGCATTCCTTCCTTAAGATAGCCAACTATCTCCCAGTGAAGGCTCCAATCTGTTTTATGTAGAGCTGCTTTTAAAACAGTCCAGTATAAAATGTTGCTGTTTAACAATCCACTAGGAGTAAAATTTGTCCTTTGTTTCTGTTTGTTGCCATTTGTACCAGGCTTGTTTAAAGAGTTGGCATTGCCCTTTCAATACTCTGAATCAGTGTTTTTCAAAGTTGACAACTTTTAAGATGTGTGGACTTCAACTCCCAGAATTTCCAAGCCAACCAAGCTGCTCTAAATCAAACATCCGAAATTTGAGATCCTTCAGATGTTTTGCTGGACAATCTACAGCAGTCTCAGTCAGCCAGGCTAGTATTAATGGTTGCTGGAAGGTATTGCAGGAAACATCTGGAGAGCCAGGTTCCCACCAGGATTTTAAATTGCTTAGAAAATATTCCCCAATCAGCTAGTTTCAGCCTTGGCAGTTCTGTTCTTTGCTTTTCACATATGAGTGAATCGGCAGGTGCAAATGAGTGGGTCTTCTCAGCAATGAGATCATATATGTTCCTCATCATCTCTACTGTAATGATGTTTTCTCCCCAATTTTATGGTAAACATCAATCTATAAGCAAATAAAATTTGACTTGATATTAGTACATTCATTACTTCTGAATAGTTCCATGTTGATATCAAGCCTGGGATTTAATTTGGGTTTTTTTTCTATCAATATTATCAGAAAACTCTGAGACTTGGAAAATTATGCTGGACCCTGTGGCCCAAGGAGGCCCTTATACTATAGAGGTACACCAGTACATCAAAGAAGAAGTGTCCAATTTGTCATTAAAAGATGTCTACTTTGGAGATGTTTGGATTTGCAGTGGACAGAGTAACATGGAGATGACTGTTTCACAGGTGAACCACATTTCTATAAGTTCCAGGTATGGTTTAAGGACCATGCAAGAGAGGGATCAGATAACAAAGCATTCTGGGAACTTATATCAAACCTCTTGGTTCTGCTTATGGAGATACAGGCCGAGAATTACTTTTGTTAAAAGGATATTTTGGGCTTATGATACTTAGGCTCTCAGCCTAAAGTCCAGATTGTGATTTAGACATTCTGCCTTAGCCATGATCTATAGCAATAGCACTTAGACTTACATGCCACTTCATAGTGCTTTTATAGCCCTCTCTAAGTGGTTTACAGAGTCCAAATATTGCCCCCAACAATCTGGGTCCTCATTTTACCCACCTCAGAAGGATGGAAGGCTGAGTCAACTTGGAGCCTAGTGAGATTTTAACTGCTGAACTGCAGCTAGCAGTCAGCTGAAGTAGCCTGCAGTACTGCACTCTAACCACTGCGCTACCTCAGCTCAATCTATACTTATTGATTGTTTTTGGTTTGCTTGCTCTAACCCGTAGCTCTGGGTTATAGAAAACTAGATTGAAAACTACTTTACAACTTCTAATTTCCAATAAAAATGCAGCAGGGTTTAGGAGTGGCTGCTTCATTTTTTTTTCATTCAAGGACATGTGGGAACATCTTTTAAAAAAACAAAAGGGAGGGGAGGATTATACAGGTGGTCCTCACTTAACAATCCTAATTGGGACTGGTGATTCCAAGTGCTGGTCATTAAGCAAAACATCACTTGACTATGGTGACATAACAGCAGTTCCAGGTATTCCAGTTTGACTGCAAAACGAGACATCACGTGGCATATCATACCAGCTTCCCCATTTACATTGCTTGTCAGAATCTGGTTGGGAAGATCACAAATAATGATCACATGAGTCACTTTTTTTTAGTGCCATCATAGCTTTGCTCACTAAACAAACAGTTGTTAAGTGAGAGCTACCAATACACAGTAGCTTATGACCGCAAGCATATCTATGCCTAGTTTAGTTTTTGTTTTTTTTAAAGAAACTGTTGGGACACTATGTGCTAGAATATCAACAAGGCAGGAGGGAGACCAAAAGATCACAGCTGATCCTGGCTTGCTCTGTTGCCTACTCTGTTGCCTGCAAGTATGGACGTACTTTATTACTTTTGTTTTTAATTGCAATTTTCAGTGGAATCTTCTCTGTTTCCTAGATATTCAATACTAGCAAGGAGATGGAAGATGCATTCAAGTTTCCTCTTGTGCGGATATTTTCCACTGCCCTTATTCAGTCAGAAGTGGAGCTGCAAGACCTTGGAGGCGTGAACTTGCAGTGGTCCATTCCAACGGCCAGTAAGAGCCTGACTTACGTCAAACTTCTAGCAAGAAATCAGCAGGATCAATAAGATATTTTTCATGTTATGATTGATTGGTGGGCTAAGAACTGACCATTTTAGTTGGATAATGGCAGTGTCAGTTTTGGAAGACAATTTTCTTTTTGCTTCTAAACTGCCACATATTTTAGCTGGGGAAGTTGGGACGGGGTTGTTGTTGGAGCGGTAGAAAGTTAGTCATAACAACATTCCGTACTCAAGGACTTTTGCCTGTGTCTGATGCAGACTGCATTAAGATTGTATCCGGTGGAGTTTGAAGAGTTGATTGGACAATGTGATGAACTTGTGGGGGTGGGGCAGGGCTGTGAACTCTTAGCTGGGTGGGGGAAACCTGGAAGCTTTCAGATTCGGGTTTTCCCAGATGTGCCAACATGACATCTCTAATAAATTGGAACTTTGAGGAACCTCAGGCCTCAGGGCTTTATTTTGTTGGGGGTGTTCCTTGTACCCTGACAGGCAGCTTGGCCAGCATAACATATTTGGAGGAACAGCAGGTATCGGAAGGCCAAATGGTGTGAGGGTTAGGCTTAATTATTTTAATGGGTCCTTCATACTTGATCTTTTTACAATGCATATTTTCTAATCAATTTAAGGTAATAGTTGTATTATTTCCGCAGCATCAAAATGTTCTAAACATTCAGAAAAATATTCCATTACACAGGAAACCTGGGCCATGGAGACTTCAGCTACTTTTCTGCAGTATGTTGGCTGTTTGGCCGGTATTTGTTCGAGAAACTCAAGTACCCCATAGGGCTGATAGATACCTCCTGGGGAGGGACTCCAGTTGAGGCCTGGTCCTCCAAGAAGGCTTTGAATGAATGTGGTCTGTTAGAGTATATTGAAAGGTAAGGAAAACTGACTCGTCTGTCTGTTTTTTAATTAATCTGAGATTTTCCATCCTAGAAAATGAGTTTGCATATTGGCTGAGCCATGGTTTTTTTTCCTGTGATTTATCTCCCAATTGGCCAAGATTCTGTTCACATGCTCTGCTATAAACCTCACTTTGCAAACCATCCTAGCTTTGTTTGCACATTGCATTAAGCTAAAAATCATTATGGCTTAATACTCAGAGTTTTATGACTCTACAACAGAGGTCTTCTAACCTCTAGCTGGCTGGAGAATTCTGGGAGTTGAAGTCCACAAGTCTTAAAGCTTAAAGTATGAAGGCTATTGCTTAACACATTGTAAGCTGCCCTGAGTCTCCGGAGAAGGGCGGCATATAAATCAATTTAAAAAAAAAAAAAAAAAAGCTGCCAAGTTTGGGGACCCCTGCTCTACAATCTCCTAACATTTTTTCTCTGTGTAACTATGACATTTTCCCGTTCTAGTAGTTTACTGTACTGCTTAATTCAGGATGAGTCCAATGAAATTAAAAATCATCTTGGGTGCAGTGAAAATGTGTAATAAATATTTCAACCCATACCAGTTAAAGGGACCAGTTTTTGTCATAAATTAGAGGAGTGCATAAGTTAATTATTATGTGTCTCATTCCTCCAGCCCTAAATCTTTTGAGTGCTGGATTCAGTGTGTGTGTGTGATTATGTGCCCTCCTTATGTTGCAAATGAACTACTGCACTTTTATGTGTATTTCAAGAGTTAAAGGACCACATTCCAGAACAACATCAGTTGGAGAATGCTATTTTACTAAGCAAAGCACTTTTTTTTTCTTTTTTCTTTTTGCCATAATGAAATAGGTCTGATCCTTGATGACATTAGTGGTCAATAATTCAGGACCCTGTTTTGGATGTTTTCGATGAAACAGAAAAAAAAATTAGGATGTAGGAATTTGACGATTAGAAAAATACTACATAATGGAAAAAATGAAAGTCATGATGTAACATTACAATAAGAGGTCAATTCTAGTTTATAATTGTATCTGTTGTAACAAACAGTTGGAAGACATTTATTTGTATTTCTTTTCCCTTTTTTGCACTTTAAGCTTTGCATTTTCTTTCTGTTCTTTCTGTTTCTAATATTCTTATCCTTTTACTTTAAAAACTCATAATAAAGTTATTTGTAAAAATAATTCAGTAATTGTGACTACCAAGTTGTCTTTTTTTTACAGAGAAAGCTCCCAATCTTTCAGAATCTACCTGGTGAGAACTCTTTACTCATTATTTTTCCTGCTGTCTTTCAGAAGTCCTCCCTCGTACCTTGTTGCTGGTCCCCGAGAAGCATCCGTGTTGTGGAATGCAATGATTCACCCTTTCGTCAATATGACCATCCAAGGAGTTATATGGTATCAAGGTATGTTTGAGTACCAGTGCAAGATTGGACTGGAATGATGCTACTCCTGCTAATGTATTGGATCTTCGTCTATTGCAGGGGAAGCCAACACTCTTATGAACACTGATATGTACAATTGCACCTTCCCTGCACTCATTGACGATTGGCGAAAAGCCTTTCATGAAGGATCCGATGGTCAAACCAACAAGCAGTTTCCCTTTGGTTTCGTTCAGGTAAGCGTACAATGGAAATGCACTCCTGAACAGGTTATTTGGGCTCACTTAAATCTATCCTTTTAAATTTTGATGTCATCCTTTTCAAGATGAAGAATCTTCCTATCTAAATAGATGTCCTGATCTCAAGCTTTTGATGTGAATGTTTTATGGTAGATTGTCATCATAAAATGCAAGGGACATGTGTAGAAAAGTGGCATTTTGCTAAATCAGTCAGATCTAGCCTTAGACTTCTGTTCCTAATTATTTCTGAAATCCTTAATCAGTGATAGATACTGGTTCGTATTTCCAGATTCATGCTTTCCTCTTCCAAGCATTGGCTAGATTTGCACATTGCTCTTAAATTGTAGTGGGTTTTAGTCATAGATTATTGAAAAAGTCAGTGGACTTGTTTAGATGACCAAGCACATGACTGGATTTACACATATAGTCAGCCAAAACTAAACAGATGATGACTCATTGTGATGCATGGATCCATACATGCTATGTAAGACCTCAGACTTCAACCCCTGCCTGTTTCAGCCGTAGAGAACAGTGCATCAGGAACTGTTAACTGTTAAGCAGCAATCCTAACCGTTAGGGCTCTAATAATGCATGTGGTTTTATGAAGCCACTGCTTTGTCATTCCCCAGTTTGTTTTCCAGTTGCATTGGATTTTAATTCTCATAATTCTTCAGACAGCATGTCATTTTTCTGACTATAATTCTTATTCCTGAGAATTATAAGAGTTGATCCAGTACATGTTGAGGAAGGCTGCCTAATATTGGGACAATGGAATTATGCAAAAGGTTTGATTTTCCCACTTGCTGCTCTTATAGTATAGAGACCCAAGAATTTTGTGCCTTTTGGGCCAAGAAGGATCATTTGTTGGTGGATTATAATACCCAACTATGGACTGTTTCCATTCTCAGATTGTGTATTTTTCTACAATCGTAGCTGAGTGAATGATGGTTATTAAGGGTAAAGATTAGGTCTTCCATAGCTGTTCTGTCCATGATTTGTAACAGGGACTTTCAGTTTTGAGTAGGAACTGACTAAAATGACAAGTTGTGAAATCCGTGGCTACCTTTTCTTGAAGATCTCCATTCTTTACTCACTTTCAGTTATGTACAGATCAGCACGTGCAGATAAATGACAACTTTCCACGTATTCGGTGGCATCAAACTGCAGACTACGGCTATGTCCCTAATAAGAGAATGTCCAATACTTTCATGGCTGTTACCATAGATCTTGGTGATGACGAATCTCCTTATGGCAGGTACATTTTAAAATTGCTTGAGATCTGTCCTCTAATCTCCTGGAAGTTTTATTCTCTCATTAAAAAACGCTTCTGTTTTCTTTGAAAACTGATACTACATTGTGGTCACATCAGTCTTGGTAGAGGAAATCAGAGATGACAGCATCATAGGGAGAGGGAGAAACAAGCAGGTGGAATGTGTGAAGAAACAAGTGATGTGTACGTGGGAGGAGAAGAAAGTAGATGGGAAAACAGAGAAGGGGACTGTGATATTAATTTGGAGGGTGAACCAAAGCTGGTTGAAAGAAGGATGGGTGGGATTCCTGTCTGTTGATCAGAAACAGAGACTAGAAAAGCAGGCTACCTAGTCCAGGGATGACAACTTTTAAGACTTGTGGATTTCAACTCCCAAAATTCCCCAGCCACCATGGCTAGCTGGGTAATTCTGTGAATTGAAGTCCACAGGTCTTAAAATTGCCAACGTTGGAGATCACTGATCTAGTAAATAGTACTAATTGGCAGTTCCCAAAAAAGTGACTGTTACCCTATTCTAGTAAAAGTGCTGAAAGCTCTTGGGCCACCTTAAAGATTTTAACAAATTCATTTTGGGCACAATCTATTGTGGACTGAAGTACTTATCATCTGATGAAATGGATTTTATCCCATGGGAAAAAGGAATTGCACTATAGTTTATAATGTCCCAAGCCTGAGATTGACTCTCTACAATGTGAGCCGGAATCAAGAAGAAAGAGTGATGGCAGATTGCAAATCTGAAAAATACAAGTCAGGTAAGTACAACATGAGATGGGCTCTAGAAGCTTTTGGCTGGCATTTATTAAATTTGTATGCCATCTATCTCTCTACTAAGCAGCTCTGATATCCATTCAGACTTCTTGTTCTTTATGAAATGGCCTTTACTTCCAGCTTTCACTTGCAATATTGAAAGCTGCCAGCTGGTTAGCCTTTTAAAACATGAGCATGAAAAAAAAGGGGGGCCTTAGTTCCAATTGACCTCTCTCATCCCTTTTCTTTGTCCTTCAGCATCCACCCCCGGGATAAGCGGACTGTGGCCTACAGGTTGCATCTTGGAGCACTGGCAGTGGCTTATGGGGAGAAAAGCATAATCTTCCAGGGACCCTATCCTCGGAAAGTGCAAGTGAATGAAACCCATAGGCTTCTTAATATCACCTTTGAGGAATGTGTTCAGTTGCGTCACATGGACAACAAGACTTTTGAGGTAAAAGACGAGGAAGAGATGTTGATTTAGGATTACAGCAGTTAGCATCCAATACATCTAGTTAGCTACCTGAATGCAGGAGGATTCTCTATGCCAGTGATGGCTAACCTTTTTGCTGTCGCGTGCCAAAAGCGGGGGAGCGCGGGGGGGTCACACGCACATATGCCCACACCCATAATCCAATGCACCCCATGCATGCGCTTGGGACCCCCCCCCCCCCCGTGCTTTTGGCGCATGGTGGGCCCGGTAGGCCCGTTTTTCACCCTCCCCAGGCTCCAGAGGCTTTCTTGGAACTGGGGGAGGGTGAAAACTGCCTTCCCCACCCCCCCAGAGGCCCTCCGGAGGCTGGAAATGGCCCATTTACCAACTTCTGGTGGGCCTGGAAGGCCTGAAAATCAGCTGGACAGTGTGCGCATGCGCACTGGAGCTAAGCTAGGGCAACACTCACGTGCCCACTGATATGGCTCCATGTGCCACCTGTGGCACGCATGCCATAGGTTTGCCATCACGGCTCTATGCCTTGAATTATAACCTGCTTGCCATTTATTTAAATGTAGCTACTAAGACTATATGTATGCGTACAGTGTACATGGCCTTGTTAAAAGTTAGAGAAAGAAAAGATGGGGCTAGAGCAGTGTTTCTTAACCTCAGCAACTTTATACAAGATACATGGACTTCAACTCCAGAGTACCACGGCCAGCATATGTGGCAGGGATATTTTAGGAGTTGAAGTCCACACATCTTAAAAGTTGCAGAGGTTAAGGAACATTGGGCAAGAGAAAGGGAGAAACAGCACAAGAAAGAGTGAATTTCAGCCCAAATTCTGAAAGTGTTGTCTACTATCTTGTGCTGTGTAGGAAGCAACATACTAAACCATCATCTACTTGTCATCCTGTTAAGAGGCATTCAGCTATGGCAAGCTTTAATGAATTATAATAATACATTTTCTTGCACAAGTTCCTCTAATCCTTAAACATAGAAAGTCATTGCTGTATCTTTTCCCCAGTGAGATTAATAGAAATTTCAAAATTAAAAGGATGAGATCTAGACTGGGGGAAATGACACGGGTAGAGGGAGTAACAAGGACTAAAACATCTCACAAACCTAATGCCAAGCCCTCAGCAGTTGTTGCTTTGAAAGATGCAGAATCTGCAATTGAAGCAATTGCTCTCTCTTGCCTTTTTGCAGGTGTGTTGCTCTAATCAGGGAACGTGCAGTTGGAAACCAGCATGCATTGTGTCATCCTCTTCCTACTCGGTAATCCTGCAGAACCCAACCTGTTCAGGTGGCATAAAGGGCTTGCGCTACGCCTGGTCTGAATGGCCTTGTGAATACAAACAGTGTCCCGTTTACAATCTACAGGAATTGCCTGCCCCTCCCTTTATTACATTTTCCCAAAATAACCCTGCATGGATTTTGCTGTGAGAGCTGAGAGTGAAAAGAGGAATCAGCAGCTTATTTTGCAGACGGAAAAAAAAGAAGTGTGGCGTACACAGCTACAGCTTACTTTTCTTAAAGCAGTAAACCTCTCAGGTTGATGACTGCAGAGAAGAATTTTAAAATGAGCAACCCAGTTACTTACTTGCCAGAAAGGTCATAGTAGGGAGGGTGGATCAGACGTTGACAATTCTTACTCTTGCTACCTGCCTGAGGTGCTGTAATAACCAGAATTATTTTGTAAGTACTTCACTAGAAATCAAACCACTTCTAAAACAATCCCTGGTTACCTGCACACAACCAGGAGAGCCAGGATTCTGAATGACAAGGCATGATGGGTGATTAATAAAAGATTCCTTTGGGAACATTGACATTCCAGTGCATGTTTAAACATAAGTCCTCCTGAATTTAGCAGGCCAAGCTCCCAAGTACAGATACGAGTTGGATGGGCCAATTGTAAGATGCCGTACTGGTCCAGCCATTTGCTCTTCTCTTGTCTCCAGCTGATCTGAAGAGGAGTGTTATAAGGAAAGCGGGGAACAAACACTCAACATTCTCCTCCCACTCTCCTAGGCAACTAGAGCAGGAGTAAGCCTAATACAAGCCACAGCTTTATGCTAAAAGGAATGGCCAAGCTATGGCATTCCAGATGTTGCTGGATGTCAATCCTTGGCAAGGTGAGTGATGTTGGCAGATGCATTAAAGCGATATGTATCTAGACTGTGTATCTTGTCTGCCCTGAAGTGAACTACTATTGACCTCCAGATTAAAATAAGGGTCTTGGGTTTCATTGCATTCCAGATCTACATTATGTGGTACTACCACTTGCAGCAAATAATTCTTGCAGCAAAAAAAAAAAAAACTTTCAAATATGAAATGTTACATTAAAAGTACAATATCACTTTATAAAAATAAGAACATAGAAGTATATTTCTTTTTTCAAGCAAAATCTCTGGCTTCAGCCAAAAGCCAGGAGGTTTTTCCTATGTTGGGCTTGGATCAACTTGATTTCCTCATTTGTGTATGTATGTTGTATGTTTACCTTAGAGGAGCAACCTGCCAAACGGATAGATCTGGTTGTGTTAAACCAAAGTAGAAAATGGGAAACAATTGATTTATAGAGCTGTGAATCAGAGTGAATCAGTTCCCTGGATCAGAGTTAAGTGCTGTCGTTAGGGATAGTGTTTAGACCAGAGGTCTCCAAACTTGGCAACTTTTAAGTTTTATGGACTTCAACTCCCAGAATTCTCCAAACAGACAGTCAAACGCCCGAGGTTTCCCAATAATGTATAAGAAACAATAATAATGGATTGACCTGTGTTAAATAACACAGACTTGAGGGTAAGAGAAGATAGATATTTCATGTGCTAGATTTATTTCAGCTAGAGGATTCCAGATGGTAGAGATTATTTGACTTTGCTCTTCAAGAATTAACTTCTGGCATTGGGTTGTGGAATATAGATGGGTGAATCTGTCAGCTTCAGTGTGTTGTGGATTCTTTGTTTCATTGATTTAACAATTTCAAATGTCCCATTTCCATATTAGGTATTTTTTAAAGCTGGAATCAAAATTGGTATTTTATTTTTAAAGGCGTGCAATCATTTTGCAATTTGAGCTATAGTGTGTATTTCTGTACAGTGATTATTTTTTTCCTAATAACTGGTGTTTTCGCTAATACTGGCATTTTGGTATACTTTCCCCTTTTTATAAATCGATGAGCTCTGCAAAATTCAGAGAAATTGATACTTCAGAGGAGAAGTAAGTTTCAGCTTGTCTCTTGATCTGACAGTGCAGAATTAAGTTCATAATTAAATATGGACCAGGTGACTTCTCCGTCCATCCTTACTGTGGAACAGCTGTCACTCTTGGATTGATCTTGTTGTCCCTCATGTGGCAGAATAAGATTGACCTATGACAAGGGTGGCTGAATGTAGATGGAGGTATACTTCAGATTAGCTGTAGGAGGGGGTTTCTGAAATTCATGATTTAGATGGGTTGTTTCCTAAATTAGGAGCAAGTAGGAGATGTGTCTGTGAGAATTTCAGTTGTGATGCAGTGTTGTGCCTATATTTTTGAGTCCTTGTATGGCTCTGTTCTTTGTTTAACAAATAGAGTTGGAATGAAAAAGCACAGTGTTAACATTTCCTATAATTACATGGCTGTTTGAGACAGCCAGGGCAAATATGGCAATTTAACTGCAAATGAAAGGATATGGAGTGTTTGCATGTAATATCCATTTTTTTAAAAAAAATCAAGTCATGCTTAATTTAATGGAAAGTTTTACCTTAGAATAAAAATACTTACTTTAAAATGAAATCTCTAAACAACAGCAAGATATATGTTTGTCTACATAATCATTTTTTGAAAATGAATCTGTAAGCCTCCGGCAGGCGTCTCAAATCAATCCCCAAATTTCCATGCAGAACAACTTCCAAGGGAAAAATTTATTCATCATTTGCATTCATTCATTCAAAAGTATGCAATTATTCAGCACAGACTTATGCGTAAGTTAATATGCAAGGAGTGATGATTTTCTATCCAAAAGAGCATGGATATTTGCCTAGCAGTTAGAATCACATTATATGGAAGATTCTAGTCACTTGTCCCAAACTTTCTAGTAATTTGTGTGTATCTGGGAGTAAACACCAAACACTGTACAGGTAGTCCTTGACTTACAACAGTTTGTGTAGTGACTGTTCAGTGTTAACAATGGTACTGAAGAAAGGGGTTTAAGACATTTTTCATACTTAACAACCATTGCAGCTTCCCATGGTTACATGATCAAAATTCAGACACTTGGCAACTGGCTCATATTTTTGATGGTTGCAATGTCCCAGGGTCATGTGATCTACTTTTGTGACCATCTGACAAGCAAAGTCAATGGGGAAACCAGATTCACTTAACAAAAGTGTTACCTAACAATTGCAGTGATTCACTTAAACGTGGCAAAAAAGATCATAAAATGGGGCAAAATTCATTGAACAACTGTCTCGCTTAGCAACAAAACTTTAAGACTCAATTGTGGTCATAACTTGAGGACTACCTTTTATGTATTTAAGAGCAAACTGGAGCAGGGCCTACATTTGATAAAATCTTTACAAGTGTACAGAAAGAGCCAGACAAAAATTCTTGGTTTACAGTTGCTCCTCTTTTATAGTTTTAGAAATTTATGGGTATTTGGATTGCTGTTTGTTTGCATAGGTAAATATTTTGGATAATGATCCTGTATGATGTAAAAATGAAGGAGTTATACTTGCATTGTTGTGCCAGTTGGTGTGCTTTTGTTGTTGCTGAGGAAATCATCTGAAATAGCAAAGTGGAAAGTATGATTTCCACCCACGATTAAAAATTACAAATTGTCTTTCTGATTTAAGTGGTCTCAGTTAAAACAATCGTTACTTCCGTGTTTGGAGAAAACTACTACCAGCAACGGCTGTAAGGAGCTCTCCCAAAAGCAAATTAGGTTTTTCTTTTTTAACATTTTTAAAGTATTTTTATAAGTATTTTTATATTTTTAATTCATTTTTAATCTATTTTTAATTTATACTGGACTTTTACAAAGCACATATAGTGTGGCTACTGTTTGTTTTAGACATATTTTAACAATACTACAAACTGCATTCCTGGCTTAGGCTACTCCTGTGACTTCTCCTTGCAAGGCCTGAAATTCGCATTACCGGACTTGTTGACAAACCTCAGTGGAGGCCCCTAACCTCGGAGGGGATTTTGAGCTGTTTGTTTTTGGAACGAGTACAGTAAGGAACTGGCTGGCTGCAGACGCTCCCGGTAGGCCTGCTTTTAATGAAACTCTATCAGCTTTTTAGTCTCTTTCTCCCACATATTTCCCCTGTGAAATAATTTAAACAATTTAAACAATTCTGAAAATAGATGATAGCAAAGAAGTGGGAGTAAAAGACAAGCCGTTGTTTGGAAAGGAGATTGGTTTTTACCTCCGTGGTGCCTCGGCTGAGACCATCATTAAGGCCTACCTTAACTACGATTGCCGAGGGAGGATAAATTGTTGCGATATTTAATTTCGCTGGGAGATACTGGATCAACTATCTACCAGAATGGTGAAGAAGAGTAAGAGGCAGAGAGCTTACTCTCTCTCCCCAAAATCTATGACAGAACTTAATTACTCCAAGCCTCTTAAACAGCTTAAATTGGATGACTTTATGGAGAGGTGTAATCCAGAATCCCAATCTGAACTTCGAACTTTGTCTCTATCGACTGTATTATTGGGAGAGGGAGATACAGAAAGGGAGTTTTCTTCCCGGATTTCAGATTCAAACTCGCCTGCTAGAATGGGTGATTTTTCAAGCTCTATCCCCTCTCCTACTTCTAGCTGTTTAAAAGAAGTTCCGACATATTCAGACCTCAGAGAGATGGTCTGTACTCAGAGTATGTTAACTGCGCACACAGTAGATTCAATATATGACTTACTGACATTGATCAAAAGAGACATCGAGAGGATCTTCCAATTCTTAAATGGCTCTCACCCTGCAGCTAAGGAGGGTGAGACTGCACACCGTCCTGACGCACAGAGAGAGTGGAAGCGTTTAAGACCTCAACCCAAACAACAAAGCATTGCAAGCACTGACGCTAACCCTCATCAAGGAAGAAGGTTGTTAAAGAAACAAATTGCTTTAAGGATAAGGAAAATCCCATGCAATAGAGGACGATGGACTTCAAAGGAAAGGATAATCCTCTCACTTGCACAGCTATTGAAATCTGATCCTTTATTAATAGATCTACTCAGATACGAAAAACTTCCCCAGCATAGCAATTGTGTTCGACTAATACTGCATTTTGACAGCAATACTATTCCGAATGCTGTGATGAAAAGAAAAGGATCCCGGACTTCCGGTTTCCTTGTCTTCGGCGACGGCGGCGCTCTTTGAAGCTCCGCCAGCCCCGCCGCCTGTAGAGCCGCTTCGAGACGAAGAAGCGGCTCGAAAACTTCTAAATCCACAGGATTGAAGAAGGAGAGATCGCAGGGCACAGGTTGAGCCCCTGTAACCCCCCAGGGAAGTTTCTGGGGAGAGAACAGGCGTGGCTCCCTCCCAACCTGCTGGAACTCCGGGCGACGTGGGACGATTCTGCTTCTGCAGAACAAGCCGGCTGCAGGAAACTTAAAGCGAAAGAACTAGCTTTAATAAACAGCGAAACTACCTGAATCCTGAAATTTGGAAACGCAAGTATTAGCACTTTGTTGACTTTTCAATCTGAGAAAATGCAAATGAGTGAAAGTGCTTTGAAAAAACATGGCGCCTAGCTTCAGAGTTAATGAGCCAGCGAGTGTGGATTGGTGAAGTTACTTTGTTTTGCTACAAAGTTTCCAAGTTGCTACTAAGCTGCCTCGCTTGTTATA